GTATAGAGTTCTTGGTAGCCCATTCTCTTAGTAGCCCATTCTTTGGTTATGGGTTGCCTTATAAGGTAACCAACCCAAAAAAGGGTGCCCTTATCATAATATGGTTTCTGGGCTACTAAGAGTTGGATGGTAGAGGCATAGGGGCTCGCCGCTCGCCCTTTTGTACGATGCACCAAATACCCCAACGTTTAGGGTTTAGGGTTTAGGGTTTAGGGTTTAGGGTTTAGGGTTCCTGGACTCTTCAGTCAGAAGGATGAACTGCATGGGGGTTTACGATATTAGGGGTGCTAGGGGTACCTTATGGGGGTCCTTATTATCAGGGAATCCCACTCTATGGGGGGTCCATGTTAGGGGTCCCCTATTTTTCGTAAACCCCCAAATCGCGGCGAGTGAATAGTCAAGCGAGGCCAGCCAGCGAAACCTGCAGACGCTGCGTCTCGGCGAGCAGGTGGGCATGTCAGATCAGCCTTGCGAGACCCTAAACCCTAAACCCTAAGCCCTAAACCCTAAACCCTAAACCCGAAACCCTAACCCCTGACCAATCTGGGGGATGGTTTCAAAGAGCCTTTGCCCCCCTGTGTACCTCTCAATTAACCTACCGTAGGTTATAGGCATTCCCACAGGCGAATATCTAGGGGCTTAGGGTCTCAGGGTCTTAGGGACCCTGAACGTGATTTCCGGGTCGACTCCTTCATTAAAGGCTCTTTCTCAGGTTGAGCCTTGAGATGTTCCCCCTTATACTCGCAGTCGTCAACAGGGATTATCGTACCCCTATTAGAATCCCCATTAAGGACTGTTCGTCTAAGGGCGATCATCCCAAGTTGAGCCTCTTGGCGGCCTTCAAAAACTTGGTTGCTCCTTAACCTCCCAATAATGTCTAAGTTTTAGCTCCCTTATATATGGAATTAGAAGAACCCCAAGACTTATAAAGTGATAAAGTTGTAGAATATGGAATTAAAAGAACCCCAAGACTTATAAAGTGATAAAGTTGTAGTAAAGTCCCACCTAGTTTGAAAGGTCCGGGAGCGAGACGACCAGATGCCGACCATTCGTACGCAGGCCACAGTCTCGGATCGAGGTGCATTGTGGGATTCAGGGTTTAGGGTTTAGGGTTTAGGTTTAGGGTTAAAATCAGAGTTTATTTTCCTCTAGGATGCCAGTAGTACCCTTACTGCCTTGTTGGGGGGTTCGGTTTAATCTGAGGTTACTGGGCAACCTAGATGGTTCAGGTTTGAGCTTTGGGGTTGGTACCCTAAACGCCTGGGCCCTAGGGGGTTTAGAGGTCAGGGGTTGAGGTTCATGGGGGTTGTGGAGAGCGTTTGTTGGGTGTAAGGTGGAGATATGTCAGGCTTGTGTCACTTGCTAAGATACTTGTCGGGTTTGCGGTTGAGGTGGCCCTGCATTAGAGCCCCTAAACCCTAAACTGGAGGGAAGCCTGCCGTTTAATTAAGTTTGGTGCTACACCTCTGCGGAGATGTGTTACAACCGTCGTGCGTTGTCCATCCTCTGTGCGGAGAGCCCACTACCCCTAACTACAACTAAGGAATGGACCTTAAATTTATATAGGGATCTTTAAGTACGATTTAAGGCCTGTTCCTTCACTAAAAATAAGTTAAAACCCCCTGCGCCCTAAACCCGGTATTCCTTATTTGAGAGGTTTGGGGCTCTTTGGGCACGGCATATTCCTGAATATTATGTGGGATCCTTCAATGTGATTCATAGGGCATCCTCCTCAAGGGTAAACCTTAAACCCTCAACGCTAAGCGCTAAACCCTAAACCCTAAACCCTAGGGCTCTAGGGGTTCGTGGCCCAGCAGCCACGGCTTCAGAGTTGTTCGCCGCCGCTGAAAATCCTCGACATGCCAAGGGGCCTAGTTTTCGGGTTCAGGGTTTAGGGTTCAGGGTTTAGGGTTCAGGGTTCAGGGTTCAGGGTTCAGGGTTCAGGGTTCAGGGTTCAGGGTTTAGGGTTTAGGGTTTAGGGTCGAGAAACCCAAAAAAAACTAACAGAACCCTGCAAGTTGAACGCCCTAAACCCCAAGCCCTACACCCTCATAGCCCTAAGACCCTGAACCCTGAATCCTAAACCCTAAGCCCTAAACCCTAAACCCTAAACGACCCAGAAACAAAGCGCAAAGGCCGGACAGCGAGCTGAGCAGGCGCGGAGCTTCTGCCAACAGGCGAGAGCAAGCAGCGCGGGAGTTGTAGGGTTTCGCCCTAAACCCTGAACCCTTAACCCTAAACCCTAAACCCTAAACCCGGCCTAAACCCTGTGGGCCTCAGGCCATCTTGCGCCTTTAAGCCATCTGAAGCCTTTAAAGCCATCTTAAGGCTTAAGGTTTCGGGTGTTGGGGCAAGGGGTAAGGTTTAGGGTTTGGGGTTTTGGGTTTAGGGTTTTGGGTTTAGGGTTTAGGGTTTAGGGTTTAGGGTCTTGAAGGTTCTGTAATTCAGGATTCGGGCCTCTGGCTCGGGCTTAATGAGGCTTATCTAGTTTAAGGTTCAGGGTTCAGGTACGCTTGTTCCCCGGTCGCAACCCTACTTGGAGGTTCTTGATACCACATGTACCAAGTATAACTGTACTTGTAACTGTTCTTATATCCATATTAGGGCAGTTAGGCGGCTTTTGAGCCATTTCTAAGTGCACTTAGAAATGGTTAATAAGTACCATGAAACTCCAAGTGCACCCTCATCACAACGCCGCTTCTTCGCGTCCTTGCACCTATAAGCCGTGACTTGCGTGGGGGATTGATCTGAAATTGTAGCCCCCTTGGTACCCTACGCTGTAAGGGTTAGAAGAGACCCCGTAAGGGCCCATGGATTAGAAAAAACTTCCGTTTGAAGACTAAGTCAGAGAGCCCAATACCCCTGAATTAAGGAGTATACCTTAAAACAGGAAAGGGATGCCTAATATGATTTATAGGATTTTCCTTTATGAAGGGATATTGGGCTCTTGGGGTAAGTCAGACTTAGTCTTGAAGACTTCACATGGTACCCAAAACAGACATCCGTTGAGCCTTAAAACCCGAGTACCTCTACCTTACTTGGAGGTTCATGGTACTGATTAACAAGTCATAACTGTATCTGTAGATGAACTTGTAACCCTATTAGGGCACTTAAGGGGCTGATAGGTGGATCATAGCTACACTTCTAATTGCGGTATAAGTACCATGAACCTGCAAGTAATCTCTTTTGTTCTTGAAGAACCCGAAGACCTTGCGCCCCCCCAGGACAGGCAGTGACGCAAGCAGGCGCTGCCCCTCCGCGGGCAGGCGCAAACATAGCCAGGGAGTTTTTGTTGTGTTTCTTGTGTGTTCTGAAGGGGGCGGGTTTATTTAGGGTTGGGATGGCAGCCTATAAAAGTGAGTGCACATCACCCCCAAAAAAAAGTCAGGTACAATGCTCTGTCATGTTACATAACAGGGAGAGAGGCTGCTCTCTTCGTGCAGTTTTCGGCGCTGCGTGCGTACGAGAAGGACAGAGCTTCTACGGCCATGCTGCACTTAGCGTTTAGGGTTTTGGTTTTTGGGTTTAGGGGGGTTAAGGGTTTGGAGTTTGGGTCAGGGGGTTTAGGGTTCGGTAGTGTTTTGGGGTTCGGGCCACGCCTTAACTACCCCAAACCCTAAACCCAAAAACCTTAAACCCTAAAACCTTAAGCCCTTAAACCCTAAACCCTAAGCCCTAAGCCCTAAGCCCTAAGCCGTAGCCATCGCCCAGGCCTGCGACCAGCTCCTCCGCCCGCCAGCCCTCGAGGGGGAGGCTTTGTGTCGGGATTAGGGCTTAGGGTTTAGGGTTGAGGGTTTCGGGTTTATGCGCTAGGTTTGAGGCGTTGGGGTGTCGGACTGGGGGTTGAGTGGGTTGAGGGCTTGTAGGGGTTGAGGCTTTAAGATATCGTAGGGTTTGGAAGGTTCACGGCTTTTGCATTTGTAGATGCAGCTGTGGGAGTAGCATGTCTTGTCCTACACACCCTATAACCCTAAACACTAAACCCTATACGGCTCATATGCCTGCAACCTGTACAAAGAATGTTCAGGCCGGTCTCCCAACATAAGAGCTGGGGTTTCAAACGTTAGTTTCTAAGGGCAGTTGCATGGTCTCTGAATATGGTCCCTTGCCTTCTGCAAAACGGGTTCTGATTTTGTAGGGTGTAGAATGAGTATGTAAGGGGTCCCCATGTAAACGCCAGCACCAACGGGACCATGCAACCGCCCTTAGATAGTTTCCCACAGTTTCTCCCCAAGCCCGCCATCGACCCCACAACACTTTAAGGCTCACATAGGGTTGAAGGTTTAAGTTAAGGTTTTGAGCGTTTACGGGTTTAAGGGTTCAAGGGTTGAAGTTAAGGGTTTAAGGGTTTTAGGGTTGAAGCAGTTTAGGGTTTGGGCTTATCGGCTTCTGTTACCTGCAGGCCCAACTGTACTTCCTTTTTGGGGTAGCTGTAGGAGATGCTCGTATACGACCCTCAGAAGGTACGACGTATGAGCCTTCCACCCTCCCTGCTTCCGCAGTGAGCCGCGCTGCTTGCCGCCGAGTGCTCGCCCGGGTCCACCACAAAGCCTGGCGTCTACGCGCGACAGCAGCACTGGCGCCGGCTGGAGAAAAGCTGCATTTTGGGTTGGGGGGGCGGGGGGGGGTTTAGGGTTTAGGGTTTAGGGTTTAGGGTTTAGGGTTTAGGGGTTTGGGTTTAGGGTTTAGGGTTTAGGGTTTAGGGTTTAGGGTTTAGGGGGAGGGGGGTACCTCGTGCAGGATCAATCTTCAAGCCCAATACTCCTGAATTAAGGAATATGCCTTAATCATAAAGGGATCCTTAATATGATTTAAGGAAAATTCCTTAATTAAGGGGTATTTGGCTCTTTGGGTCTAACTGGGTGAAGGGGAACCGGTTGATAGGTGGCCGTGTGTCTGCGACATAGGGCAAGAAGGCTTCAGGACAACTGAATTGGGGCGCATTTGCGAAGTTATGTCTCCCAGGCGTCCCGTGCCTCTGTGTAAACTATGAACGAAGCATGGTAGCCTCGATCTTCGGTCATTTCTACCTCGCGCGCGTATCACGGAATTGAAATCCTTAGCTTTGAGCTCAAACAGGGTTTAGGGTTTAGGGTCTAGGGTTTAGGGCTTAGGATGGTGGAGTCTAAACGCTCACGGTCCCAGCCCGAGCCGGCAGTGCCAATTGTTTACGACCACCAGCTGATGCGAAACTAGGATCAAATTTCTGTAAACACACGGGCACACTCGCTCCGCAAACAAAACCTAGGCTTACAAAACCCCTGTGGCATTAACGCAAGAGCCTATCTTCTCATAGTCCCCGTAGAGCTAGAATTGTAAGCTACTCAGAAGAATGGCCCTTAGAGATAAAGACCTTTGTATTGCCCCAAGTCCCAAATCCCAAAACCCCCCCAAAACAATCTTCTTGTAACAGATGCCTCAACAATCCAGCTCCATTGCCTTCTCCCCCTGCTCCCACCCCAAGCTCGCGATGCACAGCTCGGGGGAATGGATGGCATTTGGAAGGCCGACCCCTCCCAGGGTTGAATCGGTACCGGGTTTAGGGATGGGTTTAGGGTTTAGTGCTTCGGGTTTGGGGTCTAGGGCTTAGGGAAGTTTAGGGTTTAGGGAGTTTAAGGTTTGGAGGGTTTGGGGTTGAGGGCATAGCTGAGCCCTAGTATACCCTACACCGTAAGCCCTAGATCCTAAACCCTAAACCCCAATCAAAAAACTAAAGCTCTTGCAGGCCTTAGAACGAGGACTTAGGGTTTTGGGATGTTTTGGGGTGTGGTTTCTTTTTTTGAAGCCCAGGAGTCCGAAAGTGTCCCAAGATGAGCTCCCCCCACGGGAAAGGCTTAGGGTTTTGGGGGGGTTTGGGTTTTGAGGCTTTCATCTGGGTGTTGAGGCTTTCATCTGGGCTTGGGCTTTAGGTTTCCTTAGCCAATAGTTGAACTTGTTTAAATTTGTTGGGCTTCCTTGTTTAGTAGGGAATGGTAAAGTTTAGCCAGTTTCTTCCCTTGGTTATTGGAGAAGTAAGTCTAGGTTTCTCAGTGTTTTAGGGCCTATAGGGATCAGGCTTTTGGGCTTCAGGGAGGGTTTACGCATCCTACCTGCTAGGTTGGAGGGTCCTGCGCTGTCTAGGGTAAGGCAACGCTTTCGGACGTTGGCTTTGGGGCTTTCGGATCCTTGCTTCGTCTTAGGGTAGTTGTATGGGCCCTAGGGTTTCACGAGGGTGTGTGGGGTATAGACGGAGCCCCAGTTTATATACTAGGGGGCCTTTGTATCTACCCATGAGATTGTCGGTTTAGGGATGTAGGACCTTTGCCATGAGGGGAGTCATACCCGGACCCCTGAGGATGTACCCCCTAAGAGGTTCCCTGAATAGGGCCCTCATACTCTCTTTTTAAAGGGTTTTTTTAAACGGTTCCTCAAAACCAAAGGGTACACCCTAAACCCCAAACCCCCAAACCCCCAAACGCTAAACCCTAAACTCCTACACCGCAAACTCCAAACCCCAAACCCCAAAACCCCAAATCCCCAAAACCCCAAACCCCAAATCCCCAAACCCCAAACCCCAAACCCCAAACCCCAAACCCCAAACCCTAAACCCCAAACCCTAAACCCTAAACCCTAAACCCTAAACGCAACTTTCGGGGTCCAAGGCAAAGCTTCATGATGCCCAGGCTTTGGGCCCTTCCCCGCTTAGCGACGGCGAGGAGGTGTTGGCACCAGACAAGGACATGGGTTCCAGGAAGACTCACGTCCCATGTAGTACCTTCTTTAGGGTGGTTTAGGGTTTAGGGTTTAGGGTTTAGGGTTTAGGGTTTAGGGTTTAGGATTTAGGGTTTAGGGTTTAGGGTTTAGGGTTTGGGGCCTTAGGGGGTACACTAGAACACCTACGTATAACTAACCGCAAAAAAGAGAACTACGTTTAAGCCTTCAGGTAGTGTTTGGGTTTCCTTCAATGCCCAAGTAGATCAGTACCTGGATGCTTTGGCTTGGACACAGGTGGAGCTGCCACTTCCCGAGTAAGTAGCTGTGACCTGCTTCGTGTAGCAGGAGCCGATGGAGGCCCCACAAGGTTAACCTTTGGCAATCATAGCTAAGGGGCTTGCAACCTGTGTTGTACTGCTTAGCCCCATTTAGGCTGAAAGTTGCCAAAGCCAGCAACGACCAGGCACAGCCACAAAGCATGAGTCCTAAAGCCAAAGCCCGAAACTCTCGTCTTGCGCAGGAGCACTTGCTTCATCGCGGGCAAATCGCTGACGACTTTGCGGAGGGGCGCGCTGAGTTGGGTTTGCAAGGGGAGGATTGAGTCCCCAAAGAGCCCAATACCTCTTAATTAAGGGCTACTCCTTAAATCATAATAAGGACCCCTTTATAATTATTAAGGTCGATTCCCTAATTAAGGAGTATTGTGCTCTCTGGGTAGTTTGGGTTTGGGGCGTCCGGCCCGAAACCCGAACCAGTTGCTTCGTTCGGTCAACCCTAAACCCTAAACCCGAAGAAGAAGGGTACTTGCGTTTTTAGTTGGCCAGCGTTTGTTGAGACTCCCGTTGTCCGGGAAGCCAGAACCCAAGGGAGTTGTGCACACTTGTCGGAGCAAAGTGTAGAGTCTGGAGTGCAAAAAACTTAAAACCTAACTCCTAAACCCGAAACCCCAATGCTAACCTCATAATAGTAAGCCCCACCCCATTCCATTGTTTTAATCCCCTCCCTGGGCCCTAAACCCTAAACCCTAAACCCTAAACCCTAAACCCTAAACCCTACACCCTAAACCCTAAACCCTAAACCCTAAACCCTAAACCCTAAACCCTAAACCCTAAACCCTAAACCCTAAACCCTAAACCCTAAACCCTCCCCCTATTGAGGCGGGGATCGGGCTCTAGCGTCTGGCTTAAGGCCCCAGGCCCACCAGGGTTTAGGGTTTAGGGTTTAGGGTTTAGGGTTTAGGGTTTAGGGTTTAGGGTTTAGGGTTTAGGGTTTAGGTTTAGGGTTTAGGGTTTAGGGTTTAGGGTTTAGGGGGTTTAGGGTTTAGGGTTTAGGGTTTAGGGTTTAGGGTTTAGGAACAGCTCCAGGCCCTATCAAGTTTCAGGCCGGCCCTGCAGGCTCTGGCTCAAAGCCACAGCCCCTTCAGTCTCTGGCTTAGAGCTCTAAACCAAAATCCTGGGCCTGAGGTTTCTTACTGAGGGCGGGGGGGGGGGGGCTTATAATTGAGTTCCAGGCATGGGGGTTCTTGATTGAGGGGGGTTGTGATTCTGAGGGTTAGAATTTAACCACTAAGGGTTGCAGAGGGTTGTAGGAGCTTACCTGGGCTCCGTTCAGGCCCCGAAACCCGAACGCCCAGACCCGAACTAAAAGGATCCATGTACCTATGTGGTACCTTTGTGGGCTTGAAAGGGGTTCCGAGATCGTAGCATTTAGGTCCCAAGTATATAACCCTAAATCCTAAGCCCTAAACCCAAAACCCAAAACCCAAACCAGGTACATGGAGTCTTAGGGTAAGTGAACCAACACGCGAGGCAGGCTTTACCGCAGGGCTACCGCGTGGTGGCGCTGGCGTCTGGGAAGGCTTTTCTCGGCCCCTCTAAAACTGCAAACCACCCCTGGGTTTAGGGTCTAGAGTTTAGGGTTTAGGGTTAAACCCCTAAAACCCCAAACCCTCGTACCCAAAACCCTGAACATTACGCCGCCTTTGCACCCTACTCGTAGGTGGTCATTTGGTTGTCCTCTCCTGACCCCCAAAGCTAGATACTCAACGAGCCTTACCGTACTCTCTCTCTCTCTCTCTCTAATATTTGGCCCCCGACAACAAGTAGCAACACACAAAGCAGAAGAAGAAGAAGCAGTGGTGTCTCGTAGTTGTATGCATATATAGTCTCATATGGCTAGTACAGATGTACTCCAGGCGTCTCAGGCAGCGAAGGGCACTCATCCTGGGCCTAGGGTTGGAAGTACCCAGTGTAGTTTAAGAGGTTCCCAACAGGGGTTCAGTGACTCCTGCCCTAAACCCTAAACCCTAAACCCTAAACCCTAAACCCCTTGGAACCTCGGCATCGACGAGACGAAAGAGAGCAATTCAATTCTGCGAGAGGGGTGCCAGACGGCTCCGCAGCATTGCCTGCCATTACCCGAAGGTTGTCACGTAGTTCATGTTGGGTTAGCTATACTACCATATTGCTTTAGACCCCCCCCAAACAAAGAAAAAGAAACGACTTAAACATATCCCAGTATATATTGCCCTGATAAGGAAGACTAGTTTTAGGTCCCTAAGTTTAGGGTTTAGGGTTTAGGGTTCTGGAAGGTCATAGTTGACGAGATTCCGAATTTGGCGATGGCCTTCATGAGCCCTCGTACCGTGCACCCTGAGCCCGAAGCCTACCACCAAGAGCTGAGCACCCCTTAACCTAGCCGAGGAGTATACCTTAGATTATATCGGGATCCTTCGCTAGGAGTTGCGTAAGAACACCACCCCAAAAAATAAATAATAATAATAATAATAATAATAATAATAATAAAATAAACAAAAGCCCTATATATTGCACTTGCAGGGAAGATGTTTTGTTTTTTTGTTTGGGGGGTGGGGGGTTCTTGGACAAAAAGTGCTCAGCATTCGTATGTTGGGCTGTTGGGTGCCCAAGAGCCGTCAAGTTCCCTAAACCCTAAACCCCAAACCCCAAACCCTAAACCGCAAACCGTAAACCGTACACCCTAAACCCTAAATCATAAACCCTAAACCCTTTGTGTGTCAGGCCCTGGCCTTGCCCGAAGCACGACTCGTGCGCTGGCAAGGCCGGTGCTTCCATTTTTGCCTGGCTGCTGGGTTTAGGGTTTAGGGTTTAGGGTTTAGGGTTTAGGGTTTAGGGTTTAGGGTTTAGGGTTTAGGGTTTAGGGTTTAGGGTTTAGGGTGGGAGGGGGGGAGGGGATTGGTGAAGGACTTTAAGGCTGTGTTTTTGAAGGTTGTTTTGGGTTGAGGGATGTATGGGGTCGGTGCGCTGACAGGATTCAGTGCAGATGTGAGGTGTTTCTTGCGATTGCAACGAACCGTCGGTGCCTCAACCCAAAAGCCTTCAGAACAGAATTTCGACCTGTGCTGGAAGAAGTCTCTTCAGATTGTTGCAAAATTGATGTGTTCATGATTTGGGTTAGGGCCATGGGTTCTTTAGGGTTTCCAACCTTAATTTAAGCCCTAAACTTCGTACCTGGGGGCTCAGAGTGGGCCCTCTGGGCCCCCCTTGCTTTTTAAGGAGGTTCTCTTTGGTTCCCCTTTGCAACCTCTTGAACAGAAGCGGGATCTAAAAGCCCTAAGCCCAAACCTGAACCAAAAAGCACATCCCTAAACTCTCAGCCCTCAACCCCCAATGAAGAAGCGCGTAAACGCTAAACGCTGAACCGCAAGCATCGCTAAACCATGAACCGAGATCGTCCCCCAGCACCCGCTCCCATCTGTGAGGATACCCGGGACGGCTCCTGTCAGGTTGCCAAGGCTCGTTCCTTAGTTGGGGGTTGAAATTGGGATTCCTGTTCTTGATCTTGATGAGGTTTTGTATGCTTTGCAGGGAAAGTAAGGTTAGGAGCGGATCCATAAACCCTGAACCTCAATTCCACCCTTGCACTGTAAATTAAGTGCTGTAAAAAAGAGGGAAACATGGGGTTGAACTTTTTGTACCCTAAACCGTAAACCCTAAACCCTAAACCATTAAACCCTAAACTCTAAACCCTAAACCCTAAACAGGTCAGGGTTTGGGATTCGGGGTTAAGGGTTTAGGGTTTACGGCTTAGGGCTTAGGGATTAGGGTTTAGGCGTTGTCTGTTAGGTTCTGTGGTCTCCGACGACGTCACGGCTCCTTAAGCGTCTACGTATATACTACATTCTGCAGGGCTTGCTGAAACATACGTTTGCAGTTTAACACCACATCCGAAGCAGTAGTAGGATAGAAAGTAGGGACCTAAAGAAGGCTTTTGGGATATGTGTTTCCCTTTCTTGGGCTCAAGGCGATCCCATTTGCGTAGATCTGAAATGCCGAAATTTGGGACCCAGCCCTAAACCCTAAACCCTACACCCTAAACCCTCCAGGTAGGCTTACTTAGGGTTTAGCGGGATTAGGGCGTTGAGGGCTCCGATATCTTAGGGTTTAAGGGGTTAAGTGTTCAGCGCTCATAGGGTGTAGAGGCTCCTATGTGGTACCTTTTCAGAGTCGTATACTGAAATCCTGCACAACGAGCCCTTAAAAAGGAACTACATGGGAGTCTGCAGGTCGGTTCCCAAAGAGCAGAAACAACTGAAGAGACCTTCAAATGCATGGGATCAGTATGATTTAAGGTAATATTCCCTAAAGACCTTCAAGTATGTAGGGATGCTCAGTATGATTTAAGGTATATTCCACAAACCCCTACACCCTGAATTGAGGGGTATTGGGTTTCAGGGTTTCCTGTCTAGGCTCCAAGAAGCGGACGGCCACGCCGGATCTGCCGATCACCGCTTGGCGATGCGAGATTTGGACTGAAGGCCTTGCCCCAAACCCTGAACCAAAAACATCCCAAAACCTTAAAGCCTAAAACCCTCAGCACCGGGATCCCAAACCGTAGACGAACTTCTGAGCGAAAGAACTTAAGGTTTTTGGGGTTTGGGGTTTAGGGTTTGGGGTTTAGGGTTAGGGTTACCTAAGCTAAAGCCGCTTTGACTTGGGGCTTGGGCTCACGGGAGTTCTTGGACTTGAAGGTTTCGTTCTTCAGCAACGCTTCGCGCGAAGCCACTTAAAGTGCCCTGACATGGTTACAATTGGGCTGTAGAGTTTAGGGTTTAGGGTTTAGGGTTAGTTTAGGGTTTAGGATTTGTAAGTACAGATATAATTGGGTTAACAAGTACCATGAACCTCCAAGTAGACCCTACAACCTAAAAGGCCCGCCCAAGTCCTAAGCGTTGAAGCCCAGAAAGGGCGCATGAAGGACGTCTGGTATCCAATATTACGCACACATACAGGGACGTGTATGACCGTGCATACGTGCCCGAACAACCCCCCCCCCCATCCACACTCTAAGCCTCATACCCTAAACCGTAAACCCACTCCAGAGCCAGAGAGGTTTGTTCTCCCTTCTCTTTTGGGCCCTTGGCTGGCTCGAGGCAGAGGCCAGAGGGTTTAGGGTTTAGGGTTTAGGGTTTAGGGCTTAGCGCTTAGGGTTTAGGGTTTAGGGTTTAGGGGGAACATTTCCATTTTAAGGGTAATTAAACTCAACAAGGAATAGCCATTGTTGACTTTAAGAGCGCATGGTTTGGGTTTGGATTTAGTTTAAAGAGTTTCTTGAGACGTTGGGGAGGGTTTAAGGGTAGTCTAGGGTCTAGGGTTCATGGTTTGAGCGGGGGTTCAGGAGTGTAGGAGTTCTTTTTTCACCAAGTGTGCTGGGACCCAGAGTAGGCCCCTTATTCGCCCCCTTTTGTTTGTGGGGGGGGGGGGGGGGGTGGAGGGTAGAGAAGCCCCTTTACACCAAAAAGGGCCACGGTTTTTATTCCTAGATTACTCTTGGGTCTAGGTGTGGGTACTGGAAAGATCACCTTGTAGCTGCTATTGAGTAGCGACGTGTTTGAGACTTACGGAGGGTGTAGTGGAGGGTTTGTTGAGGGTTTAGGGCGTAGGTCTGCTGCAGAGGAGTCCGAAAAAGTCTTCAACCTGCCAATCCACTTGGTGAGGAGAAGGAATGCCTGAATCCTCAACCCTATACCCTAAACCTAGAGACTGAACCCTGAAACACTCAAAAATCGGGCTACCCCCCCCCCCCCCCCCGGCCCAGGCAGAAAGCTGATGGCAACCCTAACTCCCCCAAGGCTAAAACCCTCAACACCTCTTCAACCCCAGGCCCTTGAAGCACTGAAGAACTTCGTGCCAGGCAGCGACCGCGAGACAGGCGGGAACGCCCATGCCTCTGAAAATTGGGGTCAAGGTTGTGCAAGGTGCATGACGAGCCCACAAACCCAGTTCAAACCCTAGGCATCGCGTGCGCTGAGGGGAACCTAAGCCCTAAACCCTAAACCCTTTGAGATTTGGGGTTTGCCGGTGGTTGACTTGAAGGTTGGTGGGTCCGAAGTACCCCACAAACAAGATCATAGCAAACCGCAACACAAGTTACCCCTGCTCGTAGCCCTAAACCCTAAACCCTAAACCCTGAACCCCTGAACCCCTAAACCCCTAAACCCCTAAACCCTGAACCTTGGGGATGTTGCCCCTTATACTCACCGTCCTTAAAAAAGAATAATAGCGGGGCGTACAGTATTCCCCTTTTAAGGACTGTTCGTATAAGGGGAGAATTTCCCAACGCCTGAACCTCAAAATCATAGGCCCAGTTCCAAAGTCTCCACGAACAGGGTTTTAGGGTTTAGTCTAAGGACTTGGACTGATGGGTCGGTTGTGTGGCTCCCTACCCCTGTTTGTAGGGGATCCCAAGTAAGGGCCCTTATAGAATGTAGTGTATATTGGGGTGCTATAGCAAGGGCCCCCAAATTAAGGGCGCATACTTGGATCCGTAGATTTAGGCCTTTTTTTTGGGTTTAGGGTTTAGGGTTTAAGGTTTAAGGTTCAGGGTTTAGGGTCTAGGGTTGAGGGTTTAGGGTTTAGGCTGGTTCGGACACAGGCCTCCGAGCTGTGCATTGACTGGACCGACCCGCGCATCCTCTTGCACGGTGGCAGCGCGAGGCCCGGGGGGGGGGGGGGGTGCTGAGAGCTTTACAACATCATGGGACTTCGTAACCAATTATAAGGGTTTAGAGTTTAGGGTTTAGGGTCTAGGGGTTAGGGATAATTGTACTTATAACTGTACTTGTAACCAGATTAGGGTACTTCAGGGGCTTGCAAGTGGGTTATAAGTACAGTTATAATTTATAACTGGGTTAATAAGTACCATGAACCTCCAAGTAAAGTCGGTAGCGCGGTGGTCACCTTTTCCCGTTTTTTTTGTGGGGGCATTCAAGATTCCCTTGTATAAAGTAGCCGACCCAAAAAAACGGGTGCCCAACCCTAAGCCCTTCAGGAGCCGCCGAAATGGTTCCTGTTGAAGTTTAGGCTTTAGGGCCTTTGGGCTTTAGGGGTTTAGGGCTTTAGGGGTTTAGGGGTTGGGCTTGCGTTATTATTGGGTTTAAGGATACGTGGGTTTAAAGCAGAGCTCAGGGTTGATCTACGGGGAATGCGACAAAAGAGCTGTCGAGAGATGCAGGTACTTAGGCCTGCGCATGTCCGGAACGTAAGCAAGCCCCAAATCCCAACTCCCCACATAGACCCTAAACCATAAATCAATCCACTGCCCACGACCCGCTAAAGCCTATAAGCCCTATGAACCCCAGACCCTCTAAGCCCTGTAAACCCTACACACCCCCTCAACCCTAAACCCTAAACCCCAAGCGAAACCATCCTAAACCCCACAAACCATCCTAAACCCTGCAAAACCTGTAAGCCCTATAGGCCCTACCTAAACCCGAAACCCTAAACCCTAAACCCTAAACCCTCGAAGCCCTGTAAACCCTAAGCAGGTACGCAGACAATGCCTGGAATCATTTCTTTGAGCGGCGCCCTCATTCGGTAATCCCGAGGTGGCGAAACCCTGTTGAACCTGAGGTCCGGCAAGGGTTTAGGGTTTAGGGTTTAGGGTTTAGGGTTTAGGGTTTAGGGTTTAGGGTTTAGAGTTTATGGTTTGGGGTTTGGGGTTCACGGTTCAGGGTTCGGGGGTTTAGGGCAGAAGGTTGCGAGTTGGCAGCATGAGTTTAGTGCCCTGGAAAACCCTAGGCATCGCAGCAAAAACATTCACCACGCCCTAAGACCTAAACCCTAAACCCTAAAGCCCAGTGAGAAATTCGGGCTTCTCAGGGCTCAAGGGCGCAAGGCTTCAGGATTTGAACCCCCGCTCCTTGCAGAAGCCCCGGCGTGCTTTCGGGCTTTAGGGTTTAGGGTGGAGGGGCTTAGATAGAGGCTCCTGCCTAAAGCCTTCTACACCCTGCGCCCTAAACCCACCTCAGAACAAGCAGAGCTCCAACATCTTGGGGTTTAGGGTTTTAGGGTTGTAGGGTTTTAGGGTTTGGGGTCTAGGGTTTAGGGTTTTAAGGTGTCAGGGCATGTGAAGCCTTGAACCTTCAAGCCCTCAACCCGAAATCCTAGCAATACCCTCGACAACATCGCGCGACCAACAGCTTGCCGACCAACTTCGTGGCTGAGTGGATCTCTGCAAGGAGTCTGACAAGGCGGCACGCATCGAAGACCATGGGGAAAACTGCGAATCTCGCTTGTGGACGCGTGGCGCACAAGGCATCAGAGAGGGCGAGCCACCCATCTGCCATAAGCATGTTTTTGGAGAAGGCTTTGCATGACGGACAGATGAAACGGACTTTGACAAGAGAGTTTAGGGTTTAGGGCTGGCCCTAGGGCGAAGGGTTTACGTTTGAGACCCTCAACCCGAAACATCCTAACCCCGAATCGCACAGCCGAGGCAGCCCACCGGCGAGGAACTCTCGACCGACTGTCTTGAGGTGTCCCCGACTGTCTTGAGGTGTCCCCGGGCATGTTGGCGCAGCTACAAGTGTAGGTTTTAGGCTTTACCCATCCCTTAACACCCAAAACGCCCGGGTTAGTCCAAAGGTAGGGCATAGAGTTCAAAGCTTCCGGGAGCGGGGAGTTGGGAAGGGTTTTTTGGGGGGCAGAACCCTCGACCCCATAGCTGGCTTTCGGTTAAGGTTTCGGGGTGTAGCGTTGAGGGTGTATATGTATATATATATATATATTTTTTTAATTATGTTATTTATTTATTATCATTGTATATATTAATATGTGTGATGTGTGTTCCTCCTCTTGCCGCTTTCCATGTTGCACTTCTCGTGGCACCTGCACCCATTCCACTGCACCCATTCCACTTTCGCGCATTGTAGTTGAAACCATACTTCTCCAATGTAGTCACACATGTGTTATGGGTGTTTCACGCGTAGCCCTCTCTCTCTCTCTCTCCCTAAACCCTATAAACCCTAAACCCTAAATATCTCTCTGGCACAGTCTTGCTGCCTCCCTTTCAGCGAGCCCGATGTCCAAAGTACCCCCAGGGCGCAGCGAGCGCCGGCCGCCTGAAGATCGTCGAAGCCCGAGAGTCCTCATCGTTTTCGGATCCGGAAATGGTGGATTTAACAATGGTTTTGGGTTTAGGGTTTAGGCTTTAGGGTTGAGGGTTCTTTAACCCTAAGTTTTTAGAAGCCTGAGCCCTTAAGCGACGAGGATGTTTAGGGCATTTTGGTTTGGGTTTAGGACTTAGACTTTCGCCAGTGCCGGCGCGCCTCGTTTCAGGTCGTGACGGCGCGCCTTGTGTTCAGCGAGCAGACAACCTGCATCTCGCAGGCGACCTGGCCTGGTCATCCTCACCGGACGCTCCTGGCCCTCGCGCTCGGCAGGCGTAAACTGGTTCCTCGACCTCGTCCGCAGACCAAATGCCTGTGGTGTCGGTTCGCCACGCCTCGCTCCGGATTAGGGTTCAAGGTTTAGGGCGTCAGCTTTCGGATTGTGGGGTTTCCAAGGTTTAGGGCCTTCGGCGTTTAGGGCAGTCGGGCATTCACCCGAGTCCATGTCGGGATCCAGAGAGTGGAGAGTTTCGAAAGTACCTACAAACAGGCCTTTCCCAATAACTTATCTCAGGAAGCGTCAAAAGGTGTGCTCCTAGTTTCGGAAACCCCCTACAGGACCCAACAGTAGGAAGGTAACAGGTCCATCCATATTCTACTATTCCTGGAATAAGGCCTTAAAGGGATGGTAGCTTGAGGGCCGTTGTATATACTGTATAGGTGGGGTTTAGGGTTTAGGGTTTAGGGTTTAGGGTTTAGGGCTGAGGACACATTGACAGGCTCGACTTTGTAGATTGGTGTTCAAAGCCCCATCTTCGTCGCAACTAAGAAAGTCACAGAGCCTGTGGTGAGAAGGCCCCCACACCCCCTAAGCCCTTCTAAGCCCCAAGCTCCAAACCCCAAAAACCCTAAACCCTAAACCCACACTTGTCTACTCATAGCTGGCAACCGCGGAGTGTCCCAAACCCCAAAAACCCTAAACCCTAAACCCACACTTGTCTACTCATAGCTGGCAACCGCGGAGTGTCCCAAACCCCAAAAACCCTAAACCCTAAACCCTAAACCCACACTTGTCTACTCATAGCTGGCAACCGCGGAGTGTCGGAGGGTGGGGTGAGGCTCCCCCCATGGTTCCCTATAGAACCCTAAGACCTGAGCCGGTGCCGGAACCTTGAACCCCAGGCCCTGAGTCCTAACCGTAAACCCTAAACCCTAAACCCTAAACCCTATATAAATCCCAACTTGTAACCCAAGACCATCTGCAAGACGTGCATCTGTGCCATGTTGGCCGAGGTTGTCCGCTTCGGCCCCCCTTGGTTCACGCGCCTGGACTAGCTTTGAGTCTGGGTTTTTGGATTTAGGGTAAGGGTTCCGTGGGCTGTCAGTGATAGGCTGGCACAACTTAGAGTAGTTAGGGTTTAGGGTTTAGGGTTTCGGGTTTAGGGTTCAGGGTTTAGGGTCCAAATGCTATCATCCCCGCATAGATGTTGTTCCATTCGCGCACGCGCGAGCCCGCAAGCATGCGGAACGTGAATAGGCTCTTTGGTTGGACGTATAGAAGACAGTCATCAAACTTTCATCAAATCCCAAAACCCCTAAACCGAACTCTAAACGTGAAACCTTACACGCACAAACCGACAACCACTTCATGCCGAAGGTTTACCCCGCAAGCAGTGAGGAGCTTCCAGGGACTGGCGGTGAAATTGCCTACGAAGTTATAGGCTCTGGGATTCTCGAGTTTGGGATGGGACAACCCAGTATAACTGCGTTCCTTTGGAATGCTTAATCTTTCTGTTCGCCCCATCCTCCAACCCGCCCTAGATACAATTCCATTAGGGCCACAGGAGGCGTTTGTGCAAACACAACCCGAAGCCTTCAGCAGCCGTGGGCGCATAAGAGCACCTCCAAAATCCCAGGAAGTTCGGCGAATTCCGTGGGGCCGACGAAGGCAGCGGCGAGTTCGAAGGAATCCGAGGCCACAGCGTTTGGGGAGGGGCAGTGGGGGCTTTTGTAGACCCTGGGAGAGTGGCCCCCAAGGCTATGCAGCCCCCACAGTAAGCCAGTAAACCCGAAGCCTCTAACCCCTAACCCCTAACCTTAAAACCCTAAACCCCCAACCCCAAACCCTCAACCCCAAACCCCAAACCCTAAACCCCGAACCCTTAACCCGAACCAACTCCCCAAGCATCCCAATCTCTCAACCCTGGAGTCCCATTTATCCCCCAAAGCCTCAGCCCTCGGAAACTCTAAACCTACGCTTGGTAGCCCAGTGGTACCCTTTGCCCTTTTTTTGGTTCTGGTTTCCCTTATGGTTACTGGGCTACCAGGTTACGGGCTTAGGGTTTGAGGCCTAGGCACCTATACCCTCCTTGACCCCAAGCCCTGCTTAAACCCCCCCACCCCCCCCAACCCATACCAGCAACCCATTCTCGCTCAAAACCCTAAGTAACCCTACACCCGAGTTGCAAGAGCACAGCTTCAGTCGTAAGCTTAGATACACCCTACGCTGTGTATACCAGGCTTACATAATCCCTAAACTTGCTGCTTTAAGAGGCTTGCGTTTTCAACAACACCCAGAGCGCTCAACACGCCTTAATTCAGGACGTAGACCTTCAACTCATCTCAAGGATCTCCTAAACCCTTCATCCGAAACCCCAACCCTAAACCTAAATCCTTACAAAATCCGACTAAGAAAATTGGGTTCAAAGTAGCGGCGCGACAAAGGTATGAAACAACCTGCCCGCGACAAGGCTTGTAACAGAGGGGAGGGGAACTATAGATTATAAGGTCGATTCCTGAACTAAGGGGTACTGGGCTCTGTGGCAAACACTGAACGCTCTATACCTTAAGCCTTAACCCCTAAACCCCTAAAACCCTAAACCCCTAAACCCCGAAACCTTAAGCCCTAAACTCTAAACTCTAAACCCTAGCCCTAAACCCTAAACCCCCTAATCCCCTAAACCCCAAAACCGCCCACCCGCAACGGACGCCCTTCTTGAGGTGGTCGCCTTGACGACCAGACTGCCTCGGCGGGCCGCGAGGCCATCAGGCCAGGTGTACTACGTTTAGGGTTTGGGGGTTTAGGGCTTAGTAGGGTTTAGGGTTTAGTAGGGTTTAGGGTTTTTGGTTGTGTTCTTGGGCGTACCCGTAGCACCAAAACCTGCCTAGAAAGGGCACATAGGCTTGGGAGCCCAGTGGAACCCTTTCCCCTTTTTGTTGGTTCAAGGCTCCCTTAGGAACATAGCCAAATCCCAAAAAAGGTGCCCTATATGGTTACTTGGCTACTAAGTTTCTTGGGCGTACCTGCAGCACCCGAAACCTCTCTGTGTAGGGGAACCTAGAGGGAAAGCATCAGAAGGAACCCTAAAACCTAGGTTTTGTGGCCCACAGGCAGGGTTTGGGTCTAAGGGTGCGCGGGCATCTGGTGCTTCATCTCTCAGCCTCAGCGTTGGGTTTAGGGTTTAGGGTTTAGGGTTTAGGGTTTAGGGTTTAGGGTTTAGGGTTTGGGGTTTGGGGTTTGGGGTTTGGGGTTTAGGGTTTAGGTCTTACCAAAGAGCCCAGTACCCCTGAAGAAATGAATCTACCCTTGAATCTATATAGGGATCCTTGATATGAGTTGAAGCTCTATTCGCTTAATTGAGGGGGATTAGTGTTTGAAGCCCCTAAACCCCCCCCCCCCCCCCCCCCCCCCCCGCCCCCCAAGCCCCCTCCCCCAAGCCCCCTCCCCCAAGCAAGCCCTCCCTGGTCACAAGCGACCCGAAGCACGTGGTCACAAGTGACGGTGCTGCCCACAAGCACGTCGTCCAGACCAGACGAATGGTCTTGGGCCTTCAGGCCTCCCAGCAACCCTAGCCTGAGAGTGGTCTGTACCTGTAGCCCAAACAGCCTCCCTTTCTGCAGATTGCCCTAAACCCTCAACCCTAAACCTTAAACCTTAAACCTATAAACCCTAAATCCTACACCCTGCACCCTATTAGGGCTCCAAAAAAGCTTCTTGCAAGGCGATGGATTCGAGTCCGCCCACGCATTCGACAGCGGGTCACGGAGTGGTGCGAAGGTCATGCTGAGGCCCTGGGATCCTGGGTCCGAACCATTTCCCAAATAAACACGATGCATATAGTAATATAGTATATGTATATGTATATGTATATGTATACGTATACGTATACGTGTATGTATATGTATATGTATATGTATATGCATATGCATATGCATATGTATATGTATATGTATATGCATGTATGAATACGCAAATACATAAATACAGAAATAAATAGATTTAAGTATAAATATAAGTAGAAGTAGAAATAGAACTAGAAATAGAAATAGAAATATGTATATATATATATGTACATGTATGTATTGTAGATACTGTGGGCTTCTAAGCCTGACGCCATAGGTGAAGGGACTGGGTCTGGGGTTGTAATTGTTTTCTGAGCTGCAACGGGCATGGCCGGCGCCATTGTTGGATTTTTTTGGTGTGTGCTTTATAGTTTGGGGGTGTCACGGAGCTAGACAGGTCCCGCAAGCAGCCACGAAGACAGTGCTTCAAACTAAGATCATGAACTCTTGGGCACCTGTTTGGATTGCAAAGCGCATCCATGAGCATAAAGTGCATTGAGGCCCATTTTGGGGCATCCACCTGATTTTTTGACAACCTAATGACAACATGTCATATATTCCGCAAAGGAACCCTAGACTCTAACCCTAAACCCGGACATTACGTTCCGAATGCCGGCTAGGATTGTACGCAGGGTTTAGGATTGCGCTCAATAAGGTTTAGGGTGTAGGGTTTAGGGTTTGGGGCCGGCTGGAAGGCCACACCACATCTTCAAGGGCTCAGAAACGGCAGCCGACATCGAGACATCTGGGTTTCGGGTTTAGGGTTTAGGGTTTAGGGTTTATCTCGACATGCTACGGCAACTTGCAAACTTGCTGACGACGACCCCCCCCCCCCCCCCCCCCGGGCGCCTTTCTGGATGCAATAACATCGATTGAACATAGCAAGCCATTTTCATCCTGTGGGTTCGCGTAAACATATATGTGTACACAAAAAGTACTCAGAACAGCCACCACGAAGTGCTCGCCTTGCCTGCATAGCCCGAGACCTCAAAGTTGTGCATCGTCTACCTAGCAAAAGGTAGATTCAAAGTCTAGCTGCAGCCCCAAACCCTACAAAATTCGTAGATAAGAGCACTCTAAAGGACAGGCATGACCCTCCAATTTATCCGGCCGTGAACCCAGGTACTTGGAGGTTCATGGCACTTATGAACCAATTATATCTGTACTTTTGAACTGTTCTTATAACTATATTATGACAGTTAAGGGACATTTATAAGTGGTTTATGAGTACCATGAACCTTCGGGTTTCTTTGACATAACAGGCCTTGGTCGGCTGCCTCGCTGTGCACATCCGCCGCACGGACAAGCTGGAGCAGTGCAGGCAGACAGATATTAGACTTTACCTGCAGTCGCCAAGCCTACGGACCGGTAGATTCATCCCTTCCCGCCCCAAAATTTAAAAAAATGTGTATATATGTATACATATATTTTTACATATAAATCAATAAATAAACAAATACTAATCAGAAAACCTCCCCTACCCCCCAATATTACATATTCCCAGTCCACTATAACTGACTATAATGTAACTACAATGGGAGTATCGAATATCAGGGTCTAGGGGGGGTTGAATATTGGCTTTAATATAAGTGGGGATGGATGACCACCTATTGGCATTGTGTAGATGCTCGTCGTCTGAAGATAAACATTTCGGCAGCCGCACGATCTGTTCACGGCGCTTCCTTGACAATGTTGCCACGCTTGGCATGCAGAGTGCTCCTGAACTGACCACAATCCCCCCTTAACCCCAGTGCTTATCGTAAACCCTAAGCCCTAACCCTTACAGAGTCCTGTATGACTCCGCTGCAGAGTCCTGTATGACGATAGAAGCACTTCGGCTGGGCCAAGAGTATATCCTTTTTCCCCCGAGAAGGCCTTCACAACCTTCCCTACACGGGTCCGGAAAAATGGTCCCTTCCCCTCTTTCAAGGGTTCTGAAGTATCGGCCCATGGGATTTTTAGGGTACATACCGGGGTGTATAAGAAGTCCACCCCTAAACCCTAAACTAAACCCTAAACCCTACGTAACGACCCTATGACGAGTGCAGGTCAAACCAGTGGTCTGAGCAGCAATTGGCAGCACAGATCTACGCGCTGGGGCCCTGGCGCCTGGGGTTTAGGGTGCAGGGCTATGGGCTTAGAGTTTAGGGCTTAGGGTTTAGAGTTTCGGGCTTCGGGCGCAGGGTTTAGGGCTTCGGGTGTAGGGTTTTCCTCCACGATTTCTGCCAAAGGAGTTTGCCTAAAGGCTCCTAGGCAGTACAGTACCTATTTAGGGGTGGTATACTAGAAGCCCCTATAACCCCAAGTAAAAGCTACATTCGGAGCCTTTGGGTAGATAGGGTTCAGGGTTCAGCGTTCCGGAGTTCAGAGTTCAGAGTGGCCCTAAACCCTGGGTTTAGGGTTTAGGGTTTAGGGTTTAAGGTTTAGGGGATAGGGTTTAGGGTTTAGGGTTGAGGGTTTAGGGTTTAGGGTTTAGGCTTTTTTTGTTCTCTCTCTCTCTCTCTCTTTCCTTTCAGGATGCATGTGCAGGCAACCCCCTTTCCAAAAAGGATCGCTAAAATGGGGACCTACTTTTAGAACAACCCCCTCAATCAGGGCTCACAGCTGCCTGGAACCCTACTCTACCTAAAGGCTCCTGTGCAGTACCTTTCTAGAGCAGTATGCTAGAATCCCCTATAACCCGAAATAACACTACATTAGAGCCTTCAGGTACAGCCTAGAAGCCCCAAACTCTAAACTGTTCCCCCATCCTTAAACCCTTAGCTTCTTTAAAGGGTTCTGAAGTATGGGTCACTGTCATTTTATGAAACCCAAAACCCTAAACCTTGGGATGAAAGGGTTCCACAAGTAAGGGGATCATGCAACTACCCTAAACCCTAAACCCTAAAGAAGCCTAAAGCCGAAGCCCTGGTTCGGAAGGTTTAGCGCCGCTCTAGGTCTTCACTCCGTGCTCCTCTGCTTGGGCCCTACGGGGTTAGGGTTTAGGGATTTTAGGGTTTTTAGGGTTGTAAGGGTTTTTGTTGGGTTTTTAGGGCTTTTAGGGTTTTTAGGTTTTTTTTTGGTTTTTAGGGCTTTTAGGGTTTTTAGGGTTTTCAGGGTTTAGGGGTTAGGTACACCCTAAGCCCAAGACCCGAACCCTAGACCCGAGCTTAGGATTTAGGGGTTTGGGTTTAGGGTTTAGGGTTTAGGGTTTAGGGTTTAGGGTTTAGGGTTTAGGGTTTAGGGTTTAGGGTTTAGGGTTCCGGGTGTCGGCCTCGTACTAAGAAACTCACTGGGAGGATCGGGGCACTTGGCAGGTTGTTGTTTTGTAGAGCAGAAGCCCAATTATTCAAAGGATCCATGTACCTATATAGTATATACTTGGGCCTTAAAGGGGTTCCTATATAGTAGCTTTAGGGCCTAAGTACATACCATACAGGTACATGGATCCTTTGGGTTAGGGTCTCTACTTTGTACTTGCTACGTCTCTTGATCCTGCGGGCAGCGGTAGCCGTTTTAACTTGTTGGGTTCTGAGTTCCTTCGTAAAGCCAACCAATACAGAACAACCCTAAACCCTAAACCCAAAACCTTAAACCCCACAGTTCTCTGACCACCTCCCCCCCCGCCACCCTCAACCCCCCCCCCCCGCCCCCCCCGACGCTCGAAGTTTCAAACGAATTCGCGACCATTGTAGGTACAAGGGTCCTTTCTTGGCGCCCATGTTCGGTTCCATCAACCCCACCCCTTTGAATTTTAGCCTCACGGTGGGAAGAAGGTATATCCTACCCAAACAAGGGGCAGGGCACAATAAACCCTGAACCCGAACACCTAAACCCTAAACCCTAAACCCTAAACCCTAAACCCTAAACCCTAAACCCTAAACCCTAAACCCTAAACCCTAAACCCTAAACCCTAACAACCTGGAACAAGGCAGCGACGATGCGGCGCTGAAGCTGCGCCTTGCAAAGCGGCTCGCTGACGCGCGGGCCTTGGGGCAGTTTTAGGGTTTAGGGTTTAGGGTTTAGGGTTTAGGGTTTGAGGGTTTGAGGGTTTGAGGGTTTGGGGGTTTGGGGGTTTGGGGGTTGGGATGTTCACCCAAAAATGACACTAACAGTCCTTTAGTAGGGATTCTAGTACCCCCCATTATAGTCCCTTTTAAGGACTGTTAGCATAAGGGCGAACATCCCAAAGTTCGGGGTTGACGAGCTTACTTGGGGCTGAAGAGCTTTGACATGCGATTGGACATGAGGTGGTCTCAGCTCTGAATTAAGTATTCGGAGATGATGTGACAAAAGTGAGATCATCAACAACCATCCGGCTTGAGTGTGTTGAAGAGCTCGTTAAAACATGTTGAAGAAGAATGGAGGTTGAGAGGGCAACACACGCAACATACAATGGACGGATTGCATGTTTGAAATTTCCATAAAGCAAACAAAGTTGCTCATTCTACTTACTCCTAAATTCGCGCCGTCCGAAGCCAAAAAGCCAAGAACAAGAAGTTAAGTTGAATATATCTTTATAAGCAAAACACAATCGAACATACCCCGAAATAGAAGTCGGGGATACTGCTAAGACAATGTGTAAACAAGGTTAGGGTGAAAAAGAACGAACTTCACATTGGAATGAACCTCCTCAAACTGTTAAAGGAATGGATAAAAGCTAGGTCAACTCTACTGTTACAACAGCCAAGATCGACGAGAGCGTCGCGCGAGCAGTAGCATGGGGTCTGTTCAACCGCATCCAGGGGGGCACTGCCCAACCACAACCCGCTTCTTTAACCATGAATCGTGCGGTACCGCAAAAAGACCCTGAGCTTCCCTACGCCTGGCTCATAGAGACCCACAGGGGCACCCTAGTTACAACCGGAGCTATAATTACAAGGGCCTTCCATTGGGCTACAAGTGTCCTCAATTGGGTTATACACCCCTTGACGACCCAGAGAGCTCAATACCCCTAATTAGGCATCCTTAACACGATAGAAGCTATATTCCCCATGCAAGGCGGATTTGGCTCTTGGGGTATCTTGCAAACTTCTAACCCCCAGTCAGGCCCACCTCTCTCAGGACGGCTTGCGTGTGCTCACGTTTGGGTCCCTCCTGTCTGCAGGCCCCGAACAAGCGCAGCGTCGGGGGTTTGGGGTTTAGGGTCTGGGGTCTAGGGTTTAGGGTTCAGGGTTTAGGGTTTGGGGTTTAGGGCCGTTCAGGGTTAATCAGAAGGACCTTCGTTTGGGCAGCACCCCCCCCTCCCCTTGCCTTGACCCGCCTGGTTCCTTGAAGGTTAAGAATTGCGGGTGCAGCGGGCAGACCGTTATGTCATATGGGATTCAGCGTTTAGGCGGGTCAGGGTGTTTCTTTACCTTTACTGCTGTTCTGATCACATTCTACTTTGTCGCGGGGGGTGGGGGCCTTTGCCGGTTACCTTTGATCGCCGCACTCGGACCCAAACCGGTACCCTTATTCCCTTTGTCAGTGGTCAGTTAGGTTACGACTAGGGTCCCTAATAATCCCCCGCCCTTAAACAAACCTTGTCATTCCGAGACTCCTGCGGCTGTCCCCCGCACACGTGAACCTCAGGCTCCTACGCACATCGCTAAACTCTAGGCTTGCAAAGTTCCTCCGCTTAACATCAGGGTCCCTTCCGAGTCTCTTGTCGGGATCGTTGCCCCTTTAACATCTTGCTGCTTCAGGACTCTTAGTGAAGGGGCGAACATCCCAACCCTGAGTTCTCACCCCTTGAGCTCGTGTCATATGGGTGTTGAGGGTTGAGGAATTAAGGCCTAAACCCTAAACCCTAAACCCTAAACCCTAAAGCCTCAACAACAAAAGCCCCTGTCAAGGCGGGCTGCCTTCCCACAAGGATGAGAACTTGGACCGCCGACAGAATGCCGAGGCAGGCTCCCAAGTCCGGTTTGCGGCTTAGGGGGGTGTCTTCGTCATAATTGGGGAACATTTTACATCTTGAAGGGTACTTAAACCCTATAAGGTTTATAAATTTAGATTTGAATATTATCCCAGCCATGAACTAGGTGTGGGGCTGGGGACGTTCAAAAACAATGTCTTCGAGCATGGGGATGTTGTTTTCGGGGTCTGAAGTCCGGTGTAAGTGCATGGTTTAGGGTTTACGGTTTAGGGTTTAAGGTTTAGGGTTTAGGGTTTAGGGTTTAGGGATGTCTTTGTGTGTGTGTGTGCGAAAATCGTCATGCTCGTCACTTAGCGGTTTCTCAGGCTCCGTCTCCGCAAGCAAACCGCCTACACCCCAGCGTCGCAAGCTGCTAGGCTAGGACCCCGGAGTAGGCCCTTATTTTTTTGGGGGGGGGGTTCCCTTATAGTCACCTTAAACCCAAAAAAGGGAAACCCTAAACCCGAAACCCTAAACCCGAAACCCTAAACCCTAAACCCTAAACCCTAAACCCTGGGCTACTCCTGGGTCTAGTAGGCCTGCCTGGAGCCCACGCATGAGAACTTCTCGCAGGTTATCCCTTGCCACTGCCTGCCTCAACCTTAAGGCCTAAACTCTAGGGTTTAGGGTTTAGGGTTTAGGGTTTAGGGTTTAGGGTTTAGGGTTTAGGGTTTAGGGTTTAGGGTTTAGGGTTTCGGGTTAACCCACCCTCCTCCTGGATGCAAAGCCTAGGGTCCATACCCGACCCCCAAGTCGAAACACGGCCCAAAGCACTCAGGTATTTTTTTTTTTTACCTAAAAAATTTTTTACCTAAAAAAAAAAAAAAAATTACCTGTAAGAAAATTCGATATGAGCCCCTTTACAACCCGAACCCCGAAACATTCAAGGAGAGAACAATCCTGGGGTTTCAGGCGTACCCGATACCTTGGGAGGTTCCCCCTTATACTAACCGTCCTGAATAGGGATTATAGTACCTAAACCCTAAACCCCAAAACCCTAAACCCTAAACCCTAAACCCTAAACCCTAAACCCTAAACCCTAAACCCTAAACCCTAAACCCTAAACCCTAAACCCTAAACCCTAACCCCCCTACTATAACCCTTTGGAGGACTGTTAGTAGAGGGGGGAAGACCGATGCCCGAGTTGAAGCCCAGCAGGATGTTCTTGTGGAAGTGCTGATCATGGCCCAGTGCGGGGCGCTCCTGGCCACGTGCCCCCCTAAACCCTAAACCCTAAACCCTAAACCCTAAGCCCTAAGCCCTAAGCCCTAAACCCTGAACCCTAAACCCTAAACCCTAAACCCTGAACCCTAAACCCAAACCCTAAACCCCAAATGGTTTACACCTTTCCCTAGCTTGACCTAGAGTCCAGATGCTAGGGTCTTAGGGTGACCCTACTGTGAACTTGGGATGTTCCTGCATACTGACAGTCTGTAATTGGGATTGTAGTAACCCCGATTAGAATCCCCCATAAAGGGTTGTTAGTATAAGCAGAGCATCCCAACCCTAAACCCTTAGCCTTTGTTTGTATTCTTTAATGCAAACTTGTGCGCGATTACAAGAATTATAATAATTATAAATTAGGGGCACGAATGAACGCAGTAAAACCACCATTGACAAGTTACCGCATTAAAGGACTCATTAAAAGCCCCTACAATTATAATACCACGGGCAAGTTCACTTCTAAAGAATGCATGAAGTGAACGTAAGGCCCGTATTACTATTTTGGGGCTTACAATGTACGTCCTTTATGCCCCTATAATATAATTCATGTGAACGCGTGAAACAAACGTGCGCAAGCTTACTTTCTTTCACTTGTTCACGATTATATTGTTAGGGGTGCGGTGACAGTGGTTACGTTCTCTAGTTCAATGAGCTGTCAACCATGCACTCAGTTTTTTCCCCCTTTAAAGGAGTCTTTTGGTCTAGAAACTTGTCCATGAAGACGTGAAGGTAGTTACAGAATCTCAGAATTAGGGTCTCAAGGTGTGATGGATGCTGAAGGGGTAATTCCTGGAGAGATTAGTGGCTTGGAAACAGAGGTTGGGTCTCAAGGTGTGACAGGGAGATTCCGAAGGTTAGACAGGCATCCAGTATTACAGCGGTTAGACCATGAATTCCGAGATCCTGGAACAAGAGTGAGAGAGATGAATGGTACGTCCTAAAGGTGAATCATTGTCTTGTTCCTGGGGTTCTCTTCGTGTTTCAGCCCTGGTGACAACACAGCCCGATGATAGGAAAGTTATGGTGGATTCCTTTCCCTTGTCTCTTGGTATTAAAAGTGTGAAGAGAACACAAGGGCGGTTGTAATATTATAATTACAAGGGCGTCTTTTCCCGCGTGAATTATAATATTATTACGGGCCCTTGGTGAACGAAACGTGTACGAAGTGAACAAATGAATGAGAGATCGAATGAAAAGAGCGAACGACACGAAGAAGGAAAAGAGAGCAATGAACAAAACACCCAAATTATCGTCCTTTTTCCCCCATTCAATATTGTATTCTTAGGGCGTACATAGCGACTATATTTAATAGGGAATGGAACGCTTTTAATATAGAAATTACTATTTTTGTTAATAGAACTTCTGAGAGACGAAAACAATGATCAAAAGTAAAATAAAATGAAAAGAGTTTTGAAATGAATTAAATGTGTTTTTAAATGAATTTGCCCGCGTGTGTAGATAAAAGACTTAATGTTACACCTGGTCTAATATTATAACAGGAGCTACAATCATATCCCAAGCTTTTATTATTAGAATTACGGAGGATTTAACGGTTAAACGAAGCTAGTTCACTTCTTTCTCCTTCTTAACTGGCTTGTAAATCTAGTATTTTAATTGGTCCTAAAGGCACACCATACATTCAGTCTTTTTTCTACACACGCGGGCAAATTCATTTAAAAGCCCATTTAAATTCATTTCAAAAATCTTTTCATTATATTTTTCTTTTTGTTCATTGTTTTCGTCTCTCAGAAGTTCTATGAAT